TTACTTGCTTTTAAGCTTTGTTTTCGTACTTCTTCAACATCTCCGTAACTAGTTATATCAAGCATATACTCGATGTGTACTTTTCATGTTAACTTTTAATCTAGAAACATACCTAGATATTTTATTGACTGACAGAAATTTAAATTTCATATTTAAATTTAATATTCTAGAGATAAGGTAGGCAAATAGTTATTTCTAGGGCAGTTCTCGGTATGTCCGTTACTACAAGTGAAGCTTGAATACTACCAAACTGATTGTTTGGTAGTATTTTTTTGGTATGGACCCACCATTCTAGTCTATGTTTTAACATCCGTTCCAAAGTTTTAATTAAATATGCACGAAAAGAGAGAAATGGGTCCATAAGATTCGGCTGAATTTGGATCTTGTGCAGGCTTTAGAATCGGAATAATAATGATGTCTTTAAAAAAATCTACCTCAGAATTGTCTTGAACGATCAGATTTAAAAAGTCTAATAGAAAATGTGAATAAAGTATATAACAACCATCCACAAATAACCGCGATTGACCGGTTTGAGGTTGTGAGCTCATGTTTATATCTCAGATCATTGATCAAAAACACAGGGTCATTACAGGACGAAATAAAATATAAATATAATCTAGCAAAGTCTCCGTATGCAAAATAGACAAAATATGGAAGGACTTTCAAATTTCACGAACTCAAATGAGGTTGATCAACTGCTTAATATTCCCAATACTGACATACTGATGTGAATCTTGGACCCTACGACAAGCGAAAAGAAGAAAGATAGAAGCCACTGAAATGTTCTTTTTGCGGATTCCGTGGACCAACCACAGGACAAATAAAATGAACTAAGTAAACAAACGGCCATACAGCAAAGTCCATCTCCAATAAAATACTTTACAGACACGTTAAAGGGAAAGTTCTAGAGAAAGCACCCATATTCAATTACTTAAGATGTGAGCTAGATGAACAATGGGACCGCAGCCTTCAAGTAATACGGCGCATTGAGATAGCCAGCAGCGTTTTCAATAAGATGAAAGCAGTATTATGCAACGGAAAACTGGGAATATAAATTAGAACGAGAATCTTGAGATGCTACATATGCTCTATTGTTTTTTAAGAGTTACGGAGTTAAGGCGTCTGGACAGTCACACAGGCAACTGAAAGAAGACTCGCCAGCTTTGAGATGTGGTATTATCGACGAATGTGAAAAATATGAACACAATACGCAACAAACACGGAAACATTAAGAAAGATCAAATAAAAAAAGGAAATATTTCTATAAAGGATGAAAGATGAGCTACTTTGGTCACAAACTATGAAATAAAAAATATGGGTTGACGCGATTGGTAAATCGGGTAAAGTAAGTAAGATAAAGTGATTTACGCCTAAATTTGGTTCAAAACAATGGTCACAGTGGGCGTTTAGTATTACCTAAAAATTACCTATTACTTGTCTTAAAAGCCTTATCACTTGTAATTAAATTTCATTTCCTGATTTACTTAGTTGGCTGGTATCAATCGTAGGACTTTATCAAACTTTTTCCGAGCAGAGAATGTGTATGTTCTCTTAAAGTGAAATCCTCTAATATCGACATTGTGTAAATTTTTTAAAATTTAACATTTTCAACATGCAATCTAAAGGTTATTAGACCTTGATATATGGCTAGTTTATACTACTTTTAAGATGTAAGTTAAGTTTAACAGTCAAAATTTGACATCTTTTTAATAATTAATTTAACGTAGAAATACTTACTTTAAGTTTTTCACTAATGATGGTTTAATGGTAGCGAAAACGTTCTGAAATGTTTAATCCTCTTGGATAATTTAAATTTTACAATATATACCATTTTACATCAGAAGTTTTTACTTCATTGTAAGTTTTTTAAAACTATGGTATACTCGTACAGCCAACCACTGGGATATTCCCTTTTAACTTCCGTATTAGTTTTCGTTCAAGAATCACTCCTAAATATTTAACCCTGAGGAAACCTGTATATTATTCAGGCAAGTTGAATTTTGATTTGGTAGGTTATGTTTTGTAAAAGGTGGTAGTCCACAGCAAATTATAGCATGAATAGAGCAAACAGAGCCGCAGGTTGCCTCAATTAAACAATATAGAGAAATAAAAGTATCGGGAAAGAAATGAAAGGCAGAATTTACAAAACAGTCATCAGACCAATAATGACATACGCGACAGAAACACGACATGACACAGAGAGGACAAAATGGATGTTAGAAACAGCAGAGATGAAAACATTACAAAAATTGATGGCAAGCCAGTATGGGACAGATGAAGAAGTACAGATAGAGACAGAGTAGTAAAGAAGGCAAGAGACGGTTCCCCAATCTGTAGGAAAACCACAAAACGATGGAAAGACAACTTACTGGAGGCACATTGAAAAACGGACGTCACGTCTACATACAAAGAAGAATCCATTTTCGATTAGACAAGTCATTTAGTCAATAATTGGAAGGTAGGTATATTCAACTACAGTTTATAATATCGTATTTGTACCGTTGGGTGTAAATGCAAATATCAATGAACAATTTTAAAATGTTTCAAATGTATTTTGTGTAGAAATCTCTATTATTTTCACGTGATGATATTCTCACAGGAATCGATACTGCAGAAAAGCTTACAACCATAATAAAAAAACTAAGTTCAAACAATTCAATCTTCAGGCCTATATTATAAAACTTCTCGTCACGAAGATTTTTAGTACAAATGTACATAGATATTCCGCAAGAAAATAATGCAAGCGAAAAATATTGTAACGCCGGACTTCTAACTCAATCTGGAACAGATGTTCCTGAACCTTCTTCGGTGATAAAAAAAAGATGTCATCCATAGAACCAACAAGATAGCTTTGGACGAGCATTATAACATGTAAAGTAAAATAATTGCAATAATTAAAACACAATGAATTGAAAATGCCTCTGTTAAAAATTGTGGAATAGCTACTGTGTTCACATTAATTTTTATCAGTATCCCATTATAACTAAAAAATAATAGTATTTTCTCGGTAGCACCGTTTAGTTCTAAAGTTTTGGAGATAATTTAGCCATCACGTTGAAAACAGAAGGTTATATCTAGACTAGGGCGTTCTTTGTTGAGTGGTCTATTTTATTATATTGAATATTTGTTAGGAACCGATATCTACAATCGGTTTACTTTAACGATTTCATTCCTAAATAAAATTACTAATGACCGAATAAAATACTACCCTTAACTTGTGCTCCTGCTAATGCCCTACGTGATTGATTCTGAATAAATTCAACTCTAAATATATTATCAACTCCTTACTAACGACTAACGCAGTTCCAATGCTGTCCAAATTATTATTGTATTATGAGGCAATATTTGCAATTTATTAATCTGCTCGTTATTAATTAATAGTACAATATTGTTTTTTCAGTAACAATTCTTCAATTTTTTTTACTAACAATTAACGTTCAAACTTCTTCATCACTTCAATTGTTGTATTTCGAAACTGTTCAAATAATATGTACCTACTCACCTGTTTTTCTAACAATTTTTCGATAGTTATCAGTTTATGGTTGCAGCAACTGGAGTTTTTGTGTTTACATATCATCAATATATTAGCCGCTACGTATTATTATAGTATAATCATTTTAGCACTCAGCTATTTATCTCAGATGACGCCCCATGAAATATGACAGTTTAAATCCAGGTTCGTTAAATTTTTAGGATAGGAAACTGTTGTTTTACTATAAGTACAGTAGTCTCTCTTTATAACGAATCCCTATATAACGATTAAAATAGTAAACGTTGGTTGGTTCGTCATAAGGACAATGTATTAATTCTTTCTCTATACCGACATCGTTCTCTCTTTATAGCGGTGACTTTTCAGTATTCAATGGTCGATGACAAATGTGTTTAAAGTTCTGACTATCTGAGTCACGAGTGGCAAGGTCATTGTCCAGTGGTTGTTATGTTTTGCGTGTAAGGAATGCGGCCACCCATTCTACTCATTCTTATCATCTTATCAGAGGGTTAAGCAACTCGCTTTTATTGTTCGAGCGGCGTGCCTAACTATTATCACACAGATGTTGTCATCTATTGACGACTTTTCATTTCCAGTTTGAGTTGTGTTTCAGTGTGTCAAAGTCAATACGTTTTCGAAAAAGAGTTAAGTGCTCTCGGCGGAGGAAAAGTTATCGAAAACTTAAGCAATAGAGAAAGGTGAAAAGCAATCGGATGTCGTTCGCCGTACGGGACTGTCTCAGTCAACTGTGACTACAATATGGAAGGACAAACAAAAATGGCTTGAAGCCGAGATAGAGGGCGGTAGCAGGAAGAAGTTGCGGAAACCTCAGCACGAAGATTTAGATCGTGCTATGCTTCAATGGTTCCAGTAGCCGCGTATGAACCATATTACACTTTCTGGTCGTGATCAGGACAAAAGCTGAGTTTTTTGCAACTGAGCTTGGAATTGGGAATTTCAAGGCATCTGAGGGTTGTCTGAGCAAGTGAAAGCTGCCGCACAAGATCAACTACGGGCAAATCAACGGAGAGGTTCGCGATGTTAACAAAACGTAACAAATGATTGGCTAGAAAACGTGTGGCCTGGACTGAAGGCACGATATGCGTCAGACGACATTTTTAATGCTGATGAGGCTGGATTGTTTTTTAAAATGACACCAAACAGAATTTTAAAATTTAAATCGAAAAGTGCGTTGGTGGAAAGCTCTCTAAGGAATGCATTACAGTTTTAGAAGCCGCTAAAATGACAGGTCCGGTGAAGCGAAAATTTTTTTCCTGTTGTAGTCCGAAATGTGCTTCAATGTGAATGTTCTCCATATATTTGTATTTTACACACAACTGTATGCATTGAAAGCCTCACCAGTCCAATTAGTTTATCGGGAACATTAAATTCGCTTCATATTCTAGTAATGCGATTATAAGCTGATCTAATATTAAATAAAAATAAATTTAAAAACAGTAGAGAAATTGTTTATTTAAATCTTTCATTGCACATTATAGAAATTTGCTTTGGAATATTTACGAAAACTTTAAATTGTGTACAAATTTTGAGGTATATATGGCTAGGATAATTTTTTTATGACATTTAACATAAGAAAAAATTCTAGCTGAAAAGTGAAAGCTCTTTTACCTAATGATACATTAGAAGAGACAATAAAATTTCTTAACAAAAAGGTTTGTATATACATACAGATCGTGCGGTTTATTTTATAATTATTTCGTTAATTTTTTAATAAAGCCTGATTCTGCAATATGCAATTCAAAAATTTAAGAGGCTCAACTTAATCAAATAATTTTTATTTAAATCTTTTTTACAAAATCAACAGGTTTTTCTGTACAATTAAACATTTCCATTGAAAATAATGTATACATATTTACATAATCTTTGGTTCAGTCTTGTCACTCTTAAATTTCTGAAATTAAGTTTCCAGATGTCACCTTTCAAAAAAAAATTGGACAGATAATTTTAGGTAAATGTACCATTTCATTTAAATATTGTTCTAGAATTTCCGATCAAAATTCTGATAATGAAAACAAGAACTAATACCTTGATTGACTCAACAAATATGCAGAGATTCTTAATTTAATGTTTCTTTTCATTATTTATATAACACAACAATTGAATTGTATAAATGCAAAATTCACATTCTCCACGTTTCCTCAACTTTCGGAAAAATGAGAAAAACTGTTTACTATTGAAGGCCATGGTAAAATGCTTTAAATTTTTTTGTGTAACAACTTTGTTGTAATAGAAACTGTTTGCCTAAACTTTATGACAATGTGAGTTTTGTACCAAAATGTGGTTAACTGTGAGTTTTGCACGAAAATCTCATGGATAATGTTAGTTATGATGCAAAATATTTGAACTTTAGTTTTTTTTTGTATTTCAACCTTAAATTAAAAACTAAAACCAAGAAAAATATGGTGATTTATATTGTTACGATTTTTGTAGGTTAGAAATAAAATCATTAAATAAATTATTTTATTTCAATTTTAATTTTACCAAATCATTAAATTTATTTTACAGTGCTATGATGTTTTACTTTTTAAAACTAATTATTTGTTTTGTAAATTAGACTTGCTTTGATTGTTTTAGATACACTGTTTAGAATAACTTATTTTTAAATATTAAGAATGTTGACTTTTTCCAAGTGTTCACAAACTGACTCGGGTTCTACAATGTCATTAGCCCCTTCGATGTCTTTGGATAAGAGTAAATCCTCATTCTCCCTCCACTAGACCCAATGCTTTTTCAACAAGTTGTTGACGTCAACTTTCGTCACTGGTTTCGTCGAGTTTGATAAAGGAATTTTGGGTTGATGTTCAAAAGCAGTTTTCCTGGCTTGGTTGTCAGAATAATCCTTTTGCAGGTTCCCAGTTGAAAATGAAATGGGACCGGTTTATTTCCTCCAGTCAAAGACGTCCAGTCTTGGCCAACCTTTACTACTTTAGAATGTTCGGCTATAATATCATTGTACTCTGATGGTTTGTAAATTACCTCTTTTTTTCTAATAAACTTTTCTGAGACTAAAAATACTCGATCTGGTGGAAGATATCCATGACCTGCTATGGGAAAAAAGAACTCCACCGTTTTACATTTTTTGGAGTATGTTTAGAAAGCCAGATACAAGCCATGGCCACAACTATTGAATTTTTGTTCTGGCCCCTACTATACTAAACAATAATTTAGTTTATTATCACAATCATAAAATCGTTAATCAACCTTAACAAGCACATTTAAATGCAAGAAGTAAGGCGAGATAAAAAACCGTTGACAAAACATCACCACAGTGATGACAATCACGTGATGCGCCCTACGCACTCTGATTGGTCGGATTGGAGAATGTTCATTTTGCTGCAAATCGTGTGTTGAATAATGTAACTTGTTTCAGAACTTCATTTTCAATATGGTTTTTCGATATTAAAATGTGAGTTTTGGTTCAGGATATTATAACGGTTCGATTCGTCTTTAAAAGACGAATTCATTGATAATTCATAACTGATAATATGAAAATTTGGAGAATGTGAATTTTGCATCTTCACAGTTCAATTTATGTGTTGAAAAAAATCATTAAGCATTGAAATACTGCTACGCTGCTCATCCATTTTTACACTGTATTCAATCAATAAACACGTTTTTACACTATTACGAAACTCTAAAAACAATAGAGTTTGACGTGTAAACAACATGTGCAATGTAAATTCTATTTTAATTTGACAAATTACTGGTACATTCTCACGTGTAAATAATATATAAATTTTGAAAACCCAAAATATCTGTCCATTTACATTTGTATGATTTGCTATTAGCACAATATACCTTCATTAGCAATAAACAAAAATAAGTACGTGTCTACTTATAACTAAAATAAATATACTAATTCTTTTCATAACCATTCTGCTATTTTTTAAATATATTTACTAATGGCTAACGGTTGGTGTTTGATTAATTTTAATTTTTAACAAAATTAAATTGTTTGTAAAGTTTCCATAATTTTGGCCACTAGTACATATTTTGGTCCAAAGTTATAAAAGAGCCGTGATTTGATTCCAATAAACAAGACAATAAGATTGTTTGCGAAGCACGGTTTTTAATTATTATAGAATAGACATGTACCTATCACAATGTAGCATACAACAGTCAACAAATACCACAGTAACAATTATTTCATTAGCGCAGAGTTAAATTAGATCCCACTGAAAATATTTGGATTTGCCATTGTAAGTAAGAAACCATTTTCAACTGTAAGAAAGAAATGGCAGTTTTAAAAAATATAAAAATATAAATCGTCTTTTATTTCGCATATTAACAACCTTCGTATATGCACCATCCAACTATTGTTATTTATATATAAATGATCACTGATGCTTCCTAACCTAAGTAAATCCATGAAGCAACATGCTGCTCTTCTACAATAGTTTTTTTCTTAGTCTGAAGATTTCAACAAGATTAATGAAAACTCGCCAATTATAACTATTTTTATGTTACATAAATAATTGTTACTGTGACTGTTGTTCAACATCAATCTAATCTATAATCGATTTGATGAAAGTTTAAAATCAACATATCCTTAGTATTATTACGTTAAAGATGAAATAAGGTGTATCAAATCCTTAATGAGCCACAAATAAAACAATGACAATGTAAAATTGTTGCAAAATTCGACCTTTATTTGTTTAATTTATAGTCCGACAAGCGAGAGCTGGCGGGTGAGCTGCGCGAAAATAGAAAAGGAATTATTCTAAGAGAGATAGGAGAGGTACTTAATCGCGATTATAGGTATATAGTATAGGTACTTAAACGGTTATACACGATGTAAACTTCTAGCCGACTGCAATAGAAATGAGGAATCCCTTCCACTTTTCAATTTGTTCTACGCGCAACCCGCCAGCTCTCGCTTGTCGGGTTATACTATTGGTTAATAGTTGTTCAAAGAACTGCTTACAATTTTCTATGATAATATATTTACTAGCGCTGCCACTACGCATGGACGCGGTGTTTGGGAGAGTATTTTATTGAGATTGAGGTTATGTTAAAATAGCCGATGACAATCGCTTCACAACAATAATTAATTACTGGGAATAGAAAATTAGTCACCCACGAATAACGCGAACCTTTACATACTCACTCAGAGGCAGTAGATATTCTATTACTTTTATTTGTAAAAAAGCTAAATGTATGCGATTGTTTTTGTAAATGAACGATTACGGGAAAGTTACATTAAACATAAGATAAAAACCAAGTGTTTCTGAATTCCATACCTTTCTAGGGTTATTGATTTACACAGGAATTTTGGTAAGAGTCGAATCTATGACTATTTGCAGATTAATAGTTGGTCAAATGTTCTCCCGGCACTGTAAGCAAGTTTTGATTGTTCTTAGAGCACTACATTCTACTCAAAATCCTGCTGAAGTTGAAGACCTCCAGAAAAGACTCTGTATCGGCGTAACAATGCTTTTGTGGCGAAAGAAATTTTTACACAGTTTATTGAGAACATAAGACAATAATATAGGATTAAGCTATATGTTATAACCGAATGTAATGATGTGGTTTAACATAGTGCATGTATCCACAGGATCAGATTATTAGTTAATTGGAAATGCACAAATGCACTACACAATAAAGAGGAAACTAGAAAAGATAAAAATTAATTATGCCATTACGTCAATCGATAAGATGCTTGTCTATTATTCTAGTGAAAAGAAATGCGAAAAAAATATTGTATATGAGTGTACTAAATGCTTTGGGAAATCTAATCTCTTCATTCGGGCGTGCCTCTTCCTTATACATGTAACAAAATTTTTGGCTTAAAGTTAAAAATAATTAAAGCTTAAAGTTAAAAATAATTAAAAGTGATATATGGTTGAATGCTCGAGTAAATGAACTTTAATCAAATAAAATCTTGCCCAAGCCGTTTCGATCCTAGAGCATCTTCAAGGGCATTTCGTCAAAATTATAGGCTATCCAACACTTTGGTGAATGTCATAAACATTAAATAATACATTACACAACACTAGACAAAGAACAAACAGTTTTGGTCCTTTGTCTAGTGTTATGTAACTGTACTATTTAATGTTTATGACATTCACCAAATTGTTGGATAGCCTATAATTTGGACGAAATCCCCTGAAGATGCTTTGACAGCGAAAGTACTTGGGTAAGATTTATTAAAAAACTGTGCTCGATATCTGCCTTTTATTTGGTTAAAGCTTAAAAATAATTTGTTTATATTTTAATAGGAAGTTTAAGTTGATGTTGTAAAATTGTACTGTTCGACCTTATTCCATCTTAATCATAATAAATACATACAATGATATATACATTTGCCTTTTTTGATATTAGCCACTGATTAATATTTTACTTTTCTTACACTAATGAAGGATAACTTCAAGTAAAAACAAATTTATGAACATTTTTACAATAGCGTAACATCTAGATACCTATCTGCAAATAAATATAGCGACGACGCGGCACTTTAACAAATCTCTTTAAAACCTTAACAACCCCACCCATAAAAATAACAAACTGAAACATCAGTCTTATTACTAAGTTAAATATTAATAAATTAAAATATAATTTAAACTTTATATATCTTTACTATTTTGTTAACCGATCTATTGCATATTGGACACCTCTTGATGGCATGCAGAGTACGTTTCGCACATTTATAACAACAGCACTGATGACCGATGTTTGTATGTAAGAAGATACTGTCTTTTGGAGCTATATTACACATAATACAAAGTTCAGACGAAGACTGTACACTTTCGAAACTGTTACTAACCTGTGAACTAATTTCAGTATTACTCTGACTACTTTCCGGAGACTTAGTCCTTGTTAAACACTCAGAACTGTAACCTGACGTTTTACTGCTTTCTTCAGAAGTCGATAGGGTTTTTTCTGAGAAGGATGATAAAGTTGTCGTTTGACTTAAAGATGCGCATGTATTTGTCGATGCTTGGCTTAGCGATATGTCATCGTGCGATGATTGACGCAAGAATGACAATTTATTGTCCGATAACGATAAACCATCGTGTGATGATTGACTAAAAGATGACAATTTATTGTCCGTTAGCGATAAACCATCGTGCGATGATTGACTCAAAGATGATAATTTATTGTCTATTTGTGTGTGAATTGACGAGATATCATCGTACGATGTTTGATTTAACGATGACAATTTACTTTCGTTTTGTGAAGAAGTAGAAATTTCCGTTATCGATTGACATATACCACTTTTAGCTGAGTTTCTGCTTGACGGTCGCGAACCGCGAGATTTGGGACAGGTATATTTACGTTTTTTAATCTCATAATCGGAAACACTGCTTTCTGATGCTTGTCGCTTACGTCGTAACTCTCGTTCATACTCCTTTGGCGCGCTGTCCTTCTTTAAGATATCTTTTACATCAGACAACGACGTACCTGTAGGCGAAACAAAATTTAAAGTGATGTGATATGACAAACATTTCTCTTATCCTTACAAATACATATGATGAAATATAACACATATGGTCCTATTTTCCAATAATATTCCAAATTATTTAGCTTTGATGATAATGTGTGCTAAGTATCCTTTGACTATTCCGTATACAAGAGTTTACACGTACTTGAACATTTATTCAGACTGACTTTAAAAAATCAACTTCAATATCCAGAACGTTTTTTAAAAATTCTATAATTTCCATTGTTTGGTGACTTGTTTAGTATGACTTAATATTCATTATATTTATAATTCTCTTAACTAGAGTTCAATTCTTAAATAAAATATATTAAATAATTTTTTTGAAATGAGGTTGAATGCTCGAATAAATGAACTTTAAAAAATAAGGCTATTATCGAGCACAAGTTAATTAAATCTAGCCCAAGTACTTTCGCTTAAAATAGCATCTTCAGGGGCATTTCGTCAAATAAACTATCCGGCAAGCGTAGAATGTGGAAACATTAATAATGACAAAATTGTACAAAACACTACACTAAAACGAGGACAAACAGTTTAAAATTACTTTAAAGATTCTACGCTACATTCTTTGTCAGTATCTGGAGGGATAATCATTATTATGCTATTATTATTAGGGATAATCATTATCCCTCCAGATACTGACAAAGAATGTAGCGTAGAATCTTTAAAGTAATTTTAAACTGTTTGTCCTCGTTTTAGTGTAGTGTTTTGTACAATTTTATGTCATTATTAATGTTTCCACATTCTACGCTTGCCGGATAGTTTATATTTGACGAAATGCCCCTGAAGATGCTATTTTAGGCGAAAGTACTTTTGCCAGATTTAATTAACTTGTGCTCGATAATAGTCTTATTTTTCAAAGTTTAAATAATTTTTTAACTCCATTTTTTAACGCATAATATCTCGACAATGATTGTATTCTAAGTTCAAATATAATGTAATCAGATTATCAATATATCCAGTTTTATAAATGGGAAGACAATTAAAGACTATGGAGCTGCTTAAAATTAAATATGAGATTTTGGGACCAAATATGAAAGACAAGAATAAGCACAATCTGCTTAGTCATAAATGGAGATTTTTAAAACTAAATGACTTGTTATTTAGAAGTTAACAGTCAGAAAACTTAAACATTCAATATTTAAAAATTGGGTTATTGGTTTATTATAAAAATTAGAAAATTGCATAAACCGGCCAAGTCCTGGCCTGCCTGATTCTTGTACAACGTTTTCACTAATATTCGATATAAATGTTGATATTAAAAAAAAAAACACATTACTCCTAAAAATGGAGTAAGTCCTGTGATATTTTTATCTACTGACTGAATATACATATAAATTAGCCCAAGCTGTAGAGGAAAAACTTGCATTAATTAGTGGATTTTCGAAACCAGCTCAGCGCTATGAATGGCAATACCCGGAATAACCTCGGAAGTACATGAAACTCCAAATTGTTGGTTATCATTTGTTTATGGCACTTTTAAGGTGCAAAAAGCTTTAATTTGAGCTGTGATAAATTCAATTTAACCCAATAGTTAATGCAAAATTAACGATTGAAGGTTCAAAAATGTAAATTGTTCGCCATTTTTAATTTTTGAAGCAACTTTTGTAAAATTTTTTTATTTATGCAAAAAGCATTATATATTGCAGCTCCATTAATTACAAATCGAATAGCACTTCGTAAGATCCGATAGATCAATTCCTTTTCGAAAAACGTTTAAATATAATTACTATTTAACTGGGAATAACAAGAAAATAGCTTCAGAACAATATTAAGAAAACGTTTAAATATGTATAAAAATTGTTAATGTTTATAAATTTTGCATGGAAAGACACTTTTAACTCTCACGTCATTCAGCATGAGAACGGCTAGTTGGTTCGTACGTACGACGGGTCGTTGGAAAGAGGATACCGTAGAATGGGGTGACTTTGATAGAACATGAATATTTTGTTTCAAAAGAGTATGCAACCCAAATGTTTCATCAGTTATGGTGGTTGGCTGAACTTAACTTCAGTGAGCATGTTGATTAACTGTAGCGGAAGGCGTTTGTGGCGAATATCAAAAGTACACTCTTATAAATGCACTGTTGAAGTTTTTGTTTTAATTTGAAGATTTTAAATTGTGTAACTAAATTTAAACATAGAGCTCTCATCATACAATTTCAGGCAGTTTTGTCTATGTTGCCTTAATTTATGTTTAACTGTCAATATTTTAAAATATTTCACCGTGACTACTTCATGAAATTACATGATTTCTTCTCCGGGATCACTTTGATACATTTTTCGGGGTGACTTTGTTATTTTATTTCGTTTTTTAAATGTTTTCCAGTTTTCTTAAAGAAACTTCAAACCGTTAATTAATTTCAGGTTTTCATCATTATCTATATGAAAATCCAAAATGCCGTGAGTTTATAAAAGAAAGTTGGGATCAAGAAGCTACAAGAACTGCTCTGACGAAACTCTTGATTATGCTCTGCTTCAAATAGTAAACGGAAACTTGTCTGTTAAAGCCGCTTTAGAAAGATTCAAAATTCCGCATGATACTTTATATAATAAATACAAAGGTAAGCATAGGAATAAACCAAGGGGCCAAACTGCGTTGTCGGCGCTGGAGGAAAAATCCGTTGTCGGCATGTTAGATGTACAACTTTTCACTAAGAGTTATTTATAAAGAACTGGAAGAATTATCTCTAAATTTAAAAACGGGGTAAGTCCTGGTAACGACTGGGTAGCCCATTTTTTAGAGAGGTATAGTCAGCAAATCTCTGAACGACTTACGCCTAACATTACTAGAGCTTTGGGCAGGTGTCACAAAAAAACGATAGAATCATATTTTAATAATTTACGAACAACTCTCTCAAATTGCCCTCCATTGCACGTTTTCATTTACGATGAAATCAACGTTAGTGATGATCCGGGGAAAAGAAGATTGCTATATGAAAGAGGGACCAAATACCCAGAGCATATCACTAATATAGGAAGACGCCACATCAACAATTATGTGCGGTGCTGTTGATGGCACACTACTCCCTCCTTATATAATATATCGCAGCGAATGTGGGATAATGTGGGATGCGTAGACAACTAGGGGGGTCCACAGGGCTCTCCTTGTTGTAGTAGTGGATGTTGCGCAAGAGGAGCTAGATATAACCGAACAAAAAATGGGTGGATGGAGGTAACTTGTTTTACAGACTGGTTTGAGACCTATTACTACACACAAGACGGCTGGAAGGCCAAAAACTTATGATCGGTGACAACTTAGCGTCTCATTTTTCAGATCATGTATAAAAACTGTGTGAATTGCACAATATTGAATTTGCGTGCCTTCCCAGTAATTCAACACACATATGCCAGCCTTTGGATGTATCTTTTTTTAAACCCATGAAAGTTTCTTGGCGAAAGATTTTGACGGAATTTAAATTGCGACACTTAAAAAAATGCTTGGAATTAATGGATCAGACAATTGCAAAAACTAAGCCCAAACGTGGAGTCTCAATAAAGTGCAATTAAGAGAGTTTTGAAGAATGGGTTCGAGTTTTGTGGCATGGTTCCTTTCGATCCAAATAAAGTCTTGAGTAAAATTGCATCAATCAACCATGATGTTGATTATGTAAAACCTCTGATTAATGACAGCCTCACAGACTATTTGATGAATAAGAAGTCCGAGATAGAAGTTACTAAACGTCGAAGTAAAAAAAACTTAATATTCCACCCGGTAAAAGTGTAAGTCGACATGTAACGGCGGATGACAGCTCCTCTGATAGCGGATTAAACAGCTATACAAGTGAAAGCGAACATGAAATTAAAAATGAAGATTCTGTGGAGGACCAATCATACGAAGATGAGATGAATACAAAACCATCTCTTGCCGAATTGAATGTTGGAACTTATGTGCTTCTAAAAATTATGTCAGGTAAACGAAAATGTATAAATTACGTAAATGCCGGAAGGATACAAGAGAACTTACCTTTTGACGAATACGAACTCATTGGACTTAAATCACTGGATGAAACTCATAAACATTTTAAAGTGTGGAGACCGACGTTCGCTGATATCTTAACAATTCTGAAGACTCCATTGGTTGAAATAAATGAAACAGCAACGAAATGCATACTTCCTGGCAGAGTTGATGTTAAAGAGAAATAACTTATTTTGTTTGTCTTTCATAATATATTCTTCTGACTTTTTTTGCTATTTTATATGGTTTTACTAATTTGCTAAAATGTTTTTTACCTCAATAAAGTATTAACTACTTCTAGAATCATTTATTGGAAGGATGAAGGCAGTAGAAGAATGTCCTGGATGAGAAATTTAAGAGAGTAGTTTGGCTGTACCACTAACGAATTATTCAAAACAGCAGAGAATCGCCATAATGATATCCAATCTCCCATAGGAGAGGCACTCAAAGAAGAAGAAAGTCACCCCCCAAATTAAAATTGAAATATCTAAAAATTGGCTCGATCAATTAAAAAATGGGTTGACATTGATATTACTACAGCTTTTATGCATCGGCTAAGCTATTTCAAAATGGGGGTATCAAAGTCACCCCACACAATGGGTGACTTTGATATAAACATTTTTATTTTTTTATTTTTTGAGAAAATCCTCAATTTGAAAACATATATACTATCAATTTAAATTAAATAAACATATAATGCATCAAAATGGTGACTTTTCCACCAAAATTAACAAAATCACCCCGTTTTACGGTAGCTCAAGAAATAAATAGTAAAGATGTTGGGGTCTGATGTTGAATTGTCAAAAATGCCTTAAGCCTATAGTGCCTAAACGACTTAACATACAGAATACATAGAAATATTGACGTTTTTGGACCATCAATTGTCAACTTTGCATCATTTATTAGGTCAAATTTAATTTAGCACAGCTCAAATTAAAGCTTTTTATAGACTTTCATAATATTGTGCTCATTTTACTCTAAAATATTGATTTCATATGATAAAAATAATCCAAAAACACCGTTGTTGCATCTTAAAAGTGCCATAAAAAAATTATAACCAACAGCTTAAAGTTACAAATAGTTTGCGGTTATTCCAGGCATTGCACTTCAACGTTGTACTGGTTTCAACAATTCACTAATTAATGTTCAAAATCATTTATTTTTGCCTCTACAGCTGGGACTACATGTTTTACAACTAATGATCACAAATAAAGATTATACACACATTGACATACCTACATCCTTTATTGAATTTGGATACTAATAAAAAGTGTCGTCCATACCTTTTAAGTAATATATCACAATTAAATAGCTTCTATATAGAGCAATAAATAAATATAACACGAGTATTATGATTGAGGAAAATTGTAAAACTGCCATTAAAATATATTATTTATATTTTATCCACAAAAAACAAATGTAGTATTTTAAAACTTAAGCGGACGACCTTCATGGCCGGCAAAGAAACTCAAATAGAATTCAAAATTCAATTTCTAGAATTTAAAAATTCTACCACAATTTTTTTTGGTTTCTTTAAATTTAAATTGTGTGACTTGACCGGTCTATGCATACATCTCTAAATTTTTAGCGTTTTATGTTTAATATATTCAGTATAAATATTTTGATTATTTGCAGATTAGTTTTTCGAACAGAACGTGTATGTATACCTAAAAAATTGGTAAAAAGTTTAATTAAAGTGATTTTTAAAATAACGAGTAATGGTTATTAAAAACACATTGAAAACTATTTTGAAGTCTATAGAATTATCACAAAATCCACATAAAATATTATTGTTTGACTGTATATAAATAGTTTTCACTGTTGAAAAATATGGAGGATGAAAAATTAGGAAATCCAAAATTTCATAATTTTATTTAATGTTGAAGAAATTTTTGATAAGAAATCCACAGGATACGTTTACTAACCTATATGTATTTTTGTTTTCTCCTTCTTACCTTTTGCATAACCAAGTTTGTTTCCATCACAAAAACATCTGTATGTCAGTTAAAACGTTCCTGTTTGTTTTCTTTTCATTCCGCCAATACTTTAAATAAAATAAAAATTTGCACACACAATAAGATCTCGTTTGTCGAAATCATAATGGTATTTTCAGTTTCATCGTTAGTATTAGGTAAAAACAGTAAGAATAATGTAAAAAAATCTGGGAAAATAACAACAAAAAGAATAATTTGATCTCAATCCATAGCTATACTTTACGTTTATCTACTTGCAGTCAATTATATCGTTGGTTAAGATATACTAAATGGCGTTCCAATTATTTTATTTCCCCACGACCATCAGTGAATTTAATTGTTTTGCCTAGTAGCCTAGTAGTTTATTTGTTTTGCTTAGTAGAACCCTAATCCTAATAAGGTTGACCACAATTAATAATTGGCATGATTTATTTTTGTAACAAAGGAAGACTGATAAATGCTAAAGTAATGTAATGATATATGCTACAAATGAACCTTGACATAACACGAAAAATTAATAGCAATAGAGAAATTATTAGAAAAACAAATCTGACTGGAGTCTAAGAAGGTTAATGAAATGGAAGAGAAACCTAAATTCACAAATGCATAAGCTAAATCGATATATATATATTTTCATTACGTAAACAAAGCAAAAAACATATTGCGTGTTATATTATTTAAAATAGATGATTTTGCTAGTAATCCATTTTCTTGTATATGTGCAAATTTTTGCTTAATTTTAAGTTTGGTATTTCTTCAGTGTTGAAAACAAATTATCAAATATATTGTTTTTTCGGTACGGCATGCTCTGACATTTTCTAAATTATTTTATTTTTCATAAAAATAAATTTGTCAATCAGCTTCTTTGATTCGCAATACTGATACAAACAATTAAATACAGTAAAGTTAACTTTCTGAAGTTATTTTCTCGTGATACTTTCCGTTTTATGCGAATTATTTACAAATGTACTTAGTATAGTGAGGGTCAAGATCTATGCGAAATTTTAAAAACCGACCTACTGGTAATCCGATATTGACACCTATTGTAACACAGACCCCTAGAGAGACATTTACAGAGTTGTACTAATCTGTATCGAACGTTCAAATAAAATTATCGGAGAAAGTGTTGAATTTCAAATTATTAATTTGTGTACTTAAATTTTTTCTGTAGTGTCTTTCTAATGGTCTGTGTTACAATAGGTATCAAGTATCAGCAGGTTGGTCTTTAAAATTTCGCATACATCTTGTCCCTTACTATGCATGTAATATGTATTTAATACAGAAATAATCTACTTAAATACATTTGTAGCTAATTTCCAAAAAAAATATTAAATAGTTAAAGACCTTATTTATTCACTAGCAATATGTCCAACAACGTACCGAAAAATGCATACCATCACCACATGCAACAAAAATATGTATAATATTTACCTTGTTTTAAATGTATGTCCGGCACGATGATTTGTCCCAAATCCAGCGGAGGGCACTCCTGACTTGACCCAACACCAGAATCCTGAGACGATAATCCACTAAGGCAAAATCGTAACGTATCTAATTTCACTGGCGGTTCAGTAGCTTTCTTTCTCTGCTTCCGATTCCCCCTTGGTCGTGGAGGGTACATTTTTTTCCGATCCTTTTAACATAAAAACAATGTTGAAAATCATATTTTTTTAACAAGAGTTGCTAAATACGGATTTTTTCTTTCAGGGTAAGACACATCAATAAATACTTGGAAATAATATATTAATCGTAATTTAAATATTTCTACGAAATAATTGGTTCTCCTTAAAAAAATCATTGTTCCTAAATTGGAAAGTGTCAGTTTCAGGCATTCTTACAAATTGTGATCTTAATATAAATTGGGGATAACAGCGTTAAGATATTACGTTTTATCTACTTTGTTGTATGGAATAAGAAAGTTAAACAAGAAAGATATAACAAATAAAGAAGTTGGAAGCATTTGAAAAGCTATAGACAGACGCTCAAAATACCGTGGATTCAAAGAGCTGCTAATGACGAAGTGCTGAGACGATTACAAAACGAGTGTCATTAAAATAATTAAATTATTAAACCTGGGCCATGTCATCAGGGGTTAGAAGTATGAAATACTAAGACTTATCATGCAAGGAAAGATCAAAGGTAAAAGAAACGTTGGCCGAAGGAGGATTTCCTCAGCAGCTGCAACGGATAACTATGATAACCAATCTCCGAAAGGAAAAGGAACCACAAGAAGTTTTTGGCACACTAAGTAACTGAGGTACGTTACAAAATTAGGTAGCAGTTAGTTAGGAAAAATATTATAAAGAAGAAACTGCTATGTAGGTACAAATTAAGTGTTTGTGTGAGGTTTGGATTTATAAAAATCGTTTATTACAGAAAAACTAAAACTTGATGTTGGCGTTTTTAAAACGCCCTTGATATGTTTGTTCATGAGCGATTTAAAATCACTTCTAGTATTCTTCGATTCTCGCTACAGAGAGATGTTAATGAACTTTGTTCATTTAAATAATCTAGTACTAGAAGACGAAAAAATGAATATGATTCCAACCAAACGGACACTAGTTCTAATGGCATTTGTATAAAGGGCCGGTCGGAATCGCAACGGAATGCAGCACGATGATCGGCAATTTAATATATTTGTGTATTAAAACGAATCAGCGCGCATGATGAATGTTCTATTTCTTTTGCAAGATCAGTTTTTTACAATTCATAAAAGTTCTTGATATTTTTCGTAACTCATTCCAGAGTATTGATGACCTAATCGACTAAATCAGGAAATAAAGTAGCAAATTCACTTTCCGTGTTTCCGCTTACTTTTTAGAATTTTATTTTGTTGTTCCTCTTCCTCGTACAACAAACTAACAATAATAATTTTTAGATTTATTTTCCATCAAATATGTAAATCTACTGGTTGTGCTGAGGCGATTTTGTCAATAAATGCGCTTTCATCATCAGTTGGCGCTATAGACCTTCGTAAGCACTGGCCTGTCTCAAAAACATTCATCCTTTTCTGTCGGGTGTCTGCCTTCTCCATTCCCTTACCACATCTGAGTTTAGGTCGCCATCTTCTTCTTCCGACCGGCCTATTTAGCAAGGTTATTTTACCAGGATCACTTTAGTCCATCCGCATAACGTGGCCCACCCATCTTGGGCGGTTTATTTTGATGGTTTTCACGATATCTGCATCACCAAAAATGCTCTTTACTCAGAATCACAACTTAACTGTGTAACAACCTATGATATTTATAATTACCGGCTAACATAAGGGACGAAGAATGGTATAAAGCAGTTTTGGTATACTTTCAACAAGTGAGAATTTTAAATACGGAGTAAAAAGCATTTATTATATCTTATAGATCATCTCTTGTAATCTGCTACTATATGATCGTTTGGATCACCAACATTATCATCCAGCCTTCTGCGTTCAAAGTTGAACATAGGCCTCTTCTAATTTCTTACAGTTCTGTCAATCTTGAGCTTCCTGCAGTCAATTCCCATCGATTCGTGTCTGTGAGAGTTAGAGATAGTACAAACACTCCAGACCATGGCGCAGTAGACGAAATTTGGTTTAGTCCCTACTTCCATGCGAAACGCACTGTACTATGCACTGTATAATTCCACTTACGATAGAACCTTTCTGCCTTTACGTGAATTTCGGCTCCACCTTCGCGCAGCTCCATGGTCAGGAGTGTTTGCACCATCTTTACTCCAAGTAGCGAGCGTTCCATTCTTTTTGGGCTACGTTCTGTTGCTGAGCCAGGTTAAGAGAAGTGTTTCGGGGCCATAAGTCATGACTGGAACCACACATTGGTCGAACTCTTTCTTTTTCAAATAATTTGGCATGTTCATGAAGAAGTCTGGTAGAGCTCCATATACGGCCCATGCTAAAGTGATTCGTCTTTGAAGTTCAGCAGTTTGGTTTATACGTGGTAATTTGAATCCACCATTTCGTTGCTGTCGATTTTTGGATTTTCACTTACTACCAGATGTCATGTATTGTGTCTTTCCAAAATTTATGTTTAAACTCAGTAAGCATAGTTCCAATCTATTTTAAGTTGTCTGTTATCAGACCAATCTCGTCCGTAAATGGTAGATTTCTTTGGCTTCTCACTCCAATGTTTTGAAAGCATGTTCCACAACTGTCGTAAAGAGTTTGGGAGATAACATGCCGCCTGGTCTGATTACTCGTATGATTCTTATACAGTTTGTACCTTTATGCAGTCTTAAGGTCATGGTTGCATTATTGTATATATTCGCGATCAGTTTGGAGTACCAATAATCTATGTGACTTTCCTCCCAACAGATTATTTAGATTATTTATATACATTTATTTTGATACCTTTTTCATTCTGCTGTGCAAGTTGAAAAATCGAAGTTATATAGTACGGAGAGAGAAAGCAGGATGTCTTGGGCCTCTAGTTATTTCCATTTGCTCTGTATCCAGACCGTTGATAAACCTTAATTATATGTTTGGCTACCAGTATAATTCTTTAAACATTCTCATATATTTGTCAACAGTCTAATCTCTTTCAAAGTCGGCATCAATAGTACCAATAAATCAAATAAGGACATTATTTATCTAGTGTTCTTCCCGTGTTCCCAAGCAGTTTTTAAAAGCATCAATAGTGTATATTGTCAACTCGTCACGTGTATTATAAATTTGTCTCATCAATTACCTTTGGGATAGCCTTAGCGCGTGGCCACTGATTAGGCGGCGATCTTCGCACCGACAAATATTCTGCTTCTTTGGATTTGAGAGTAAGATTATTTCAGTTTCAATCTGATAATATTTTAAATGTCCGACAACCGTATTGTTTTTTAAACTTAAGCTCTTATACTCCCCTTTTGTGGTTCAGTTAAGTCTGTTTTCATTATTAGCTAAGTTACGATCGCCAGAGAAAAGATTTAGTATATTTGTTTGCCAAAGTTAGAATAATTCTTTGTGGTCTTTAATGGTGTTGCTGATTTTTATTATATTTGGAAAGTTTTTTTCTTAATATTTTTTATAAAAGTTGAAATAATAATGGGTTTCGAAATATTAGTTATTACTGCTTCATCGTAGTTTTTAATTATCCATTTATTTTTGGTATTATTTTGTTTTTAATTCGTTTATTTTTGTATTAACTTTCACTAAGTTTTAAATTTTTTCTTCCTTCAACCATGTCTAGAATTTTCTATTTTCGTCCAGCTAAACAATTAATTATATGTTAAATAAATAGAGAAACAAATCATATAAAACGAGTGATCCTAGATGGAAAAGTGATTTAATTTTTTTTGTTGAATTATCAGAAAATTATACAGAAGTAACTGCTCTATAGCTACAAATAAATTCTATAAAACAGCTATTCTTAAGCACTTATAAATTTTTATACTATTCAGAGTATCATTAAAAAACACAACGAATATTAAATAGTTAAAAAGTATATAAGTATATAAGTTATAAGTAATTGTCATAATGTATAATCTATTGTATATATGGGTGTTCCTCCACTATTTGGAAATTTTCTGTCCAAACTGTCCCTAAAGCAAATTTTATTAAATGCTGAGAATGTTTGTTAATAAAATGAAGGGTAATAGTAAAATAAATATACTTCATCTAATTTACATACCGATGCACGTCATCGGCGTCATAGCCCGTGACGTCACATGGTACCAACACAAAATATTTAGGCGGTAGGTGTGTTCTTTTTTAAAATCACTTTACCGAGTAAACTGACATTACAGCCACTAGACATATTTTATTATATACGCGTAGAAATAATATTTTTGCGGTGTTGTCACTTGTTGTACTTTATTATTTTGAATTTTAAGTGAATACCTCTTGTTTTGTATTTTTACCTATTTAATAAAATCTGTTCTTTTTAGAACAAAATTAGTGTGTTTAATTTCAAAAATGTCACATAAGAATTTAAATAGTCTTTGTAAAGAGATGGCAATACTTTTGCAATAATTATGTGACCTATTTGATTTAAAATGGATTCAGGATTTTTTTTATACTTTGGCAACTATGTCAACTTCGATCTCTGACGTTGATAATGACGTGCAACGATATGTAAATTAGATGAAGTATATATATATATATATATATATATATATATATATATATATATATATATATATCTTAAAAACCCATAAATTTTCCTCTTGTGAGTCATGGACAATTTTATGCAAATCTGTGACAGGGGACTGTTTAAGCTATCCAGGAGACTGTTTTTATGAACATAACCCATTATTTTTATTAAATTTAATTTATTATTTTTAAGAATCTAAGTAAAAAATTGCTACTTTTGAAGTAACTAAAGTCTAATATTAATTATACGATGCCTTACAGAAAAATCAGTGTTTATACTTCAAGGAAAAGCTTTAAATTAACTGATTTCTTAAAAACCGGTATAAATCTGGATCTGGTAACTATTGCAATATTTGGCCAAAACTAATATCAGAATTCCGTTGTGGAGCTGAGTGGGCAACCGCTATTTTGTTTAGTGTAACTACTGCGTCTACTAGTTAACTTCTCGTCTTAGCTGTTAGTGAAAACAGTCCCCTGGTAAGTTTTATTGACTATTTTTAGAGTTTTAATAACGAACATTTGTTTAAGATTTGTAATTCTGCAAAAAGCGACATGACAGGGGA